ACATACATACATACATACATACATACACATACACATACATACACACACACACACATATATATATATATATAGGATGACTAATTGCTGCCACAGATTTATTCCATCTTGTTGAGCTCGAGGCGCCTGTGCTCTGCGTCTTCATCGTCGTCGAACAGCATCCGACTGTATGGCAGGTGGAGGCGCAAGGATGAGGTTTTGTACGTACCTATATGATCTAATGCGAATCAAACATGACTGTGATGCCTGTAATTGCGATAAGTATTCGTGCATGCGTTTACTCTGTGCGATCTTTGCTGCTATTACAGGGAGGAATCCTAGATGCTATTGCAGTTTATTGAGTGAGTATATATTGAGCGATCTTAACGTAGATAATATTCGACAATGTTCTGTGCGATTCCAAAAGGCGTGAGTTTCGATATGGTGTATAATGATCGCAGACAGCATTTAACTGTTGGCAATACATGTTGTGGTATAAAGATTCTACAGTGTATACGGTCTATGTGGATTTCTATCTGAACATTATCCGAATGTTTATGATTGATGCATAGTATTATAATGGACGCTAGTTCTATGCAAATGTCACGCGACACTTGCTTGACGTTCTGATGCCCAACAGCTCCCCTATTCTGTCATGACACCGACACTGCACACTTGGGTCATCGAAACAAATAAACTATTGCTATCACATTAACGCTCGCAATGAAATGCTTTGCACCGGCTTGTATAAACTGAATAAAATTTCTAAATTGTACTGTCGAATCGCAGAGGCAAAGGTTTCTAGCTGGGAATCAAACAAACATTCAATTTTCGCCCGACTTACTCTTCTTCTCCGGCAGGAATGTTTTGTTCCACCCAATCCAAATCATCTTCGGCATTGTTGACAAACAAGTCCTCTGCATCCGAGCCTGAATCGCCACCGCGTCTGAGCAATCGCAGACTCATCTCATCGTTGTAAGTCGGACTGACGAGTGAATACGACTGATCATCAACCGAGGCAGTCTTTGTGTATGCGAACCTGATATGATTGATGGGTAGTGTATTATGATACCGGAATGAGCATTGGAAAAGTTTGTATCCCCTTAAGCATTAGCCTAAGGTTGCAAGACAAAAAGTATACGCACCTGCCGAGTCGCCATATTTATAAACGGGAGTGAAAGCTCACAGATATAAGCGGGTCAATGACAATATGGTGCTACCACCCACATTTTGATTCGGACCATACTCTTACACAACAGCGATGCATGGTACAAACGACATTGTTCATTATACTGACTATGTCTGAAGGACCTGTAATCGAAAAATCCATAATCGGAACACACCTTTTGTTGTTCGCGTTGGGCCTCCATAGGAACAAGATACACAGCAGTACACAAAAGAAGATCAGCTTCCAAATCATCGAGTCGAACCAATGGTTCCTCCAATTGTCCATACGGACTGATGGTCGAGCAATGATGATCTGAATCACCATAGCAGCCATACACGCAGTCGCCCTGGAAGTCGCGGATATGAAGGGGCGGAACAAAATGAGATTCATTAAACAAACTTAGAAGTATTTCTTATGGCGGAATGGCAATCTTACAATTACAAATCAGGATCCGTTTAAGTGTTGGAAAATAGGAATAGCTGGCGAGCAGCGGACAGCACTTACGCGATGATTAGCACGTAGAAGAACTGGTTGTACATCGCATATTTGGTCATCTGGTTGCGAGTCAGTAGCTGAGCCTTAGTCGTCTGGATGCAATACAGAATCCAGATCACGCAGATGGAGTTCAACAGACTGAGAGGCAGGGCGAAGATGTACTCCACCAGTTGCAGTCTATAATTCTCCTCTACGCTAAGAGTCAGTGCCTGCCCAGGCCAAGTGTGGTGAAAATGTTGCAATTAGTGAGTGTATGATTGACAGCTTGCGCTACTATTCTTTGGGAGGAGAACGTCAATGATGAACAATTTTAGATGTCCGAATGCGAATCGCAGTGAAAATTCTGGTATCACATTGGACGGGCTTTCAGAAAAATGTATCAACTTCCTGAAAAAGTCAGCGTACAACTTCTATTTGCGTTGAATTGCTGAGCAAATTGAGCGTATGTATCCTTTGTCAGAGGGTGCTTGCTAAAGAGATCTCAGGTATCTAAGAATTGGGGCTCAAAGAGTAACTATAATTCACTTACATGAGCATGTTGCATGTAGAATGCCTCCCAGTATACGATAGCCATGAGAAAATAGACACCTCCGAAGATGACCACCTTCCTCATATCGTCTCCGAGATGAGGTTTGACCACCCCGTATCCCATGCACACGATCAAGACCTAAACATATCAAATTAGGTTAAAGGAGAGATTTTTGGGATGAGATCTTCACGATAGAAGGGCCATCTTCGAATACAACCGAGTTTGATATGTGACGAAGACAATACTCAGCAGCACCGATTGTGTGAATTACCTTCCGCGCTTCGAAGTGAGATGAAAGATTCTTATGATTTAGGGCCAAATATTTTGCCTTCGAATTTGTAAGCGACATTGTAAAGCACTCGAACAAGCCGAAGGGTTGTATGCAAGCAACGCCTGATGTCATCAGATCATTTACTATATAT